TGAGATGGTGGTTATAAATGAGAATCGTTTATAGTTTTTTTCACATTAATGCATTTCATTAATAAGTTTTTTGTCCAAAATAGTTTAGTTATTGAAGGCAAATTCACTTGGAATTATAGTCCATTTGAGGGTAGATGTAGAGTCTAGCCCTTTTGGGTATTTGTTGTTATGAAATTTTGAAAAAGAAAAGAGCTGTCTTAGGAGACATGGAAAGCTTTTATCCGTTGTACAAGGATGGTTGGTACATATTAGTGGAGCAGCTTGTTTTAAAGAGTGATTGGATTTGCAGTTGCTGGTTTCTTAATTTGATGTGTCTGCACGTGTTTGACTTGGAAGTATAAGAGCTCATCCAATGAGTAGTTATTGTGGTTTTGTAAACTATATTACGCTCATGGCCTGGTTTCAGGAATATCAATGCTTTTGTTTCACATTGTGCTTGGTTGCAAACCTCTGATTTCGAAAAGTGTGCTTGAAAAATTGTGGTTGGCAAACAATGATGAAATACAATCTTCCTGAATCCTGAGTGATTTTGAATACATTTGTCACTGAAGTTGCTTTCTATATCACTTAACCACTGTTTTTAACGAAACCTGGTGCCAAATTCGATGAGTTACTGCAGTGACAAATATCCGTGTGTTGAGGGAGACTCACTCCCCATCCCCATTTTTGTATTCTGCAGGAAATTACCTCAAGTTCTATGATGCTATAAAACGGGCCTACCCAGATATAAAAATAATTTCGAACTGTGATGGATCGGCTCGCCCGCTCAACCACCCAGCTGATCTATATGATTTTCATGTAAAGTTCTCAATGGCATGCATAATGAAAATAGAATGGCTTTTTAGTTTATCTCCTTTTCATTATCTGTTAATAATACGAATGGTAAGATAAGTCTTTTTCCTTGATCTCTTATCAGGTTTATACATCTGCCAACAACTTGTTTTCCATGTCCAATCAGTTTGATCATACATCACGACAGGGTCCAAAGGTATGTGAATGTGGTTATCAATGATATTCAGATTTGTTTGTTTCCTTATTTCTTCAACACATTCCAGGCCTTTGTTAGTGAATATGCTGTGACCGGGAAAGATGCTGGCACTGGAAGTCTTTTAGCAGCACTTGCTGAGGCTGGGTTCCTCATCGGTTTGGAAAAGAACAGGTTATTTTTATATATTTTTCATCTTCTTCCTATTCAACATATATTCCATTTGGTCTCCTCCATTTAATTCTCCAGAATAGGCGTATCCTCGTCTCTTCATGAAATGCCCTACTGGCTTGCTCATTATTAATTGTGTGAGAGGTTGGTTTGATAAATCTTGGATCCATTTGTATAACTTTGAAGTTTTGAAACAATTGACTCTTCGCTGAGGACATTTTAAATACTTCCATTGAAATGGCAAATTGGCTAAAAAAAAATGTAGTGCAGAGATTTTGATGGGTTCTTGTAAAACTATTAGAAGGGTTTCTGAATCACAAACTGTTTATATACCTCAATCGTGCTTCAAGATCATAATATTTTGTTCAGTGTAAGCTACTGAAACTATGTTTACTGTACTGCAGCGATGTTGTGCAGATGGCTAGCTATGCACCACTCTTTGTAAATTCCAATGACAGGCGGTATTTTTCTCACTGTTCCTTTTTTAAATATATTTATATAATCTCTTAATTATGGTGGAAATATGATATTTATGTAATTCGTTATTAAGGTGGAACCCAGATGCAATCGTCTTCAACTCCTTTGAGGCATACGGGACTCCTAGCTACTGGGTGCAACATTTTTTCAGAGAGTCAAGTGGTGCAACTTTTCTTAATGCAACACTGCAAAAGGATTCCTCTACTTCCCTTGTAGCATCTGCAATTACTTGGAAAAATCCAGAGGATGGTCAAACCTACATAAGGATAAAGGTCTGTAACATGGAGATCATAACATTTTTTCTCGAAATGTTTTCCCATGGCTACATTTGATTCATTTTTCCTTCTGCCTAACGATTAACACGCAGCATAGGTCTCAGTATAGATACATTTGTTAGCTGGGGCATGTGATGTTTAACGATTAACACGCAGCATAGGTTTCAGTATAGATACATTTACACGTACTTAGGCTCACTTTTCTTATTAATTGTGATATTGATATTGATTTATGGATGATCTTGTAGGCACCCAACCTCCGAAATGTCACCATTGGCAGCATGTTTAAGTATACTAGAAATTTGAAATGAATTACAGAGGACATCTTTGGTGCAAAACTAGACTTCGTCGCTTGCTCTTATCCTGTATTTATTTTTTATGCTGAACTCGATTTTCATTTCCAACTGTGCCAGATTGCTGTAGTCAAAAGAAAAGAAAAAGAACTATGATGGATAACTTGAAAGAATTTACATGATATTTCCTTAAAATCCATCGATCGTAGTATCCAAATCCTTGACTTGCATGCTTCCACCATTGTCTTACTCATTGAGAAGATATCGTTTGTCTTTCATTTTGTGGCTCATATTCCACTTAAATGCAAACATTTTTTTTTAAATCCAGGCTGTAAACTTTGGGAGCAATTCAGTGAACCTCCAAATTTCTGTTGGTGGATTGGATCCAAACTCTGTAAAGCTGTCTGGATCAACAATGACCATTCTCACATCTGCTAATCTGATGGATGAGAATTCCTTCAAGGAGCCAAAGAAGGTAAAACAGCTACTGTGTTCTTCACTTTAGGTCCACTGTTCAGAAAGCATGTTCTCCAGTTTGCGCAAATAATATATATCAAAAGTTGGGAAGAAAATTCAACAGTTTTATGATAACTTAGAATAACTGATAGCCAATGAGGAATGAATGCAAGTCATTCCATGATAATCTAGTTGACCATCGGAAAAATCCGAGCTTATGATAGTCACAGTCGTGCATATCCCTGTAAAAAAATGTTTGCTATAGTTGTTCCCCAGTGATTTAGTTAACACAAAATAATATGAATTCCTACGGTCAAATCTTGTCCCATGCATGATTAAACATGAGAACCAATAAGCAAATTGAAACTTAACATCTAGATTGTAAAACCATTATCACGAAGTTTTCTTTGTTGATACATGCAGGTAGCACCGGTTCAAATATGGCTGGAACACGCGGACAAGGAGATGAGTACCCTACTATTACCACATTCTTTCACTTCATTCGATCTGTTAAAGGAGTCTGTGAGTCTTAGAATTACAGAAGATGATTCGTCCCTTAAGTCTTCTATCTGAAATGAATTAATGGAAACATAAATGATATGGGGCGTGTGTTTATATTTATTAGAATGATAGTTAGTAAACAGTCTGGTTGATATCAAGCCTTTAAATTCAATGTACCCTATGTATCTGAGTTACTGAAACTATATATGTTGTCAATAATTTGTAATGCTTTGAGTGCTGGAATACCTCTGCAAGCCTTTATTCTCTGGTTATTTTTCTACACTTAAAGTTGCTCATTCTCCAAATCCATACCTATTTAGATAGCATTCGGGGATTTCAATTTCAGTTTCAAATATCACTTTTAAGACTTGTTTACCGATTTGTGGTTTTGAAATTCTTTTATATTGAATTTTATGTTTTGCTTCAGACGTTGCTTATAGGGCTGTAAATGAGACAAGACCGATCGCTAGTTACTCGAGATCGACTCGGTCAATGCTCGATCAACATTCGAATCGGATGAACTCGAGCTCAAACTCGACTTGAATTCTTAACGAGCTAAAACGAGCTACTTAATAACCGGCTCGAAAAGTTCGCGAGCTACTTAAAAAAATGTTATATTATAATTTTAGATTTTTTAAAATTACATTATTAAAAATATATTATTGATAATTATAAATTTTTAAATTTAAATGTAATATTAGATTTTTGTAGGTTAAAATTCAAATTTGAGTTCGAGCTTGAATCGAGTTCAAAATCTAGCTTCAATCGAGCTCGTGTCTCGAGCTTCAATCGATCTCTTGATTTTTTTTTGAGTTTGAGCATTTTCGAGTTCGAGTTGAATTTTAATATTATATTTCGAGTTCGAGCTGAGTTTGATAATTTTTAGCTCGTGAGTTTTCGAGTCGAGTTTAATTTTAAACTTTTCGAGTTTGAATCGAGCTCGGCAATACTCGAGCTCGACTCGACTCGTTTACAATCCTAGTCGCTTATCATCTCTAATTAAAAAAGTTTATTGATATCCTCGATTTGACATGATACATAGGTTGATTCTCGGGTTTTTCGTGACTTGGAAATTACAATTGAATCCTAAAGGTTACGTTGATCATCAAATTAGCCTTAAATTCGATCCAAAAGTTTTAGATGATATGAAAACAAAATTACTGATAATTTAATCAAGTATTGATCCTTTATCAGAAATTTATTACTAAATATTTTTTGATTAATTTGTTAAATATTTGAATGTACTACAAACATTATTAAGATTTCATGCTAATATTATGAGATAATACAATATTAAAAATAATAAAATACATTTAATAGTCTGAACCCCTAAAAAACATTTATAATATCTCATGTCAACGTTCATAAAATACAATAGAATAAAGTAAAATCTTATTACGAAAGTAAAATTTATAATCGAAACTTTTATTCTTCAAGTGTCAATTCAGTTACAACATTCTCAAGTATTTAAAAAAAGAGAAAATAAAAAATGTGAACTATAAAACTCAGTGTGGTCTAAAAGTACAATAAATAAAATATCGAAAGAAGAGACACAAATCAAAATATCAAACATGCATGACAATTTCAAAAACTCAAATAGGGGACGTGGGCTAACAAACCCCAAACTATTTGATCATCTGTTAATCATCACATGATGATTTTCTCAGAGTTTATAATCAATCGAAAGTCAAATGAGATGTGATGAATCAAATAAATAACAACCCATATCAATAGGAAGCCAAGGAGAGAAACAAACGTAAAGCTTAGTTTTCTCCCATCTGCCTCCGCCGCCCTGGATGATTGCTCAACTGCTTCTCCCGTCTTCGTTTTTAGGAAGCGTTCATGGAGTATGGCTCAATGTTTTTCGTGTTCTTTGCATTTAGAAGCAGAAGGAGATTTTGTGTTGGATCCATATTTGCGTTTGTTACGTTCAGTAGCAAGCATGAAGACGGGTTTGCAGTTCGGTGGGCAGATGGGAGGTTGTCGGAGGGGTATAAATTTTTAGTTTTTCTTGTTATATCTTCGGAACCAAAAATCTTCATATATGTTTTTGGCAACTCGGTGAAGAGGGTGTGGATTCCGGCTATTAGAGTTTCCAGGTCTTTCAAGGTTGCTTTGGATGGTCGGAATGACGTGGGTGGTCGGTCACATGCATTTGTTTCAGCGATTCAGCAATGTAGGACAGAAGATCCGGGTCCTTTGCTCCATGTCAGTATTTCGAAAGCTCGCTTCCCTTTCTCTAGTCGGATGAGTCATGTTACAGGGTTTTTTAGAGTGGTTTTGTAAGATTGTTCTACAGTAGAAAAAGTGTTTTCTGGTTGCTACAAGCATTAGGGTGTATATCGAGGATGTCTTTTACACAACCTTTCAAGCAGAAGGGTTGTTGAAAGGGTTTGTTTTAGGCTCGTTCTCCTGGTGGTTATCAAGTATTTTGGAGCTTTGGAGCGTATGGCGTGCTGGAGCAGCAGTGTTGACTGGTTTCAAACCTGTTTTCTCGAACATGAATTTTTAGTTGGGTATGAGCAGAGAATCATAGTGAAATTATGGGTTATGTTCTTAGTTGTTCCATTGTTAGTGTGGTGCTTTTATTTCATCTTTAATTTAGGGTTCTTATGGGGTTCTGTCCTTTCAATACATGAAGAAACAAGTTTTAGAGTCTGGTTTGTTGATGCCAGATTGCTTTTGGTGGTGCAGTGGGCTGCAGTGGTTCCTGAGATATGCTCTGTTCATTAATGGTAGGGCTTTTGCTTTATATTTCTTTCGGAGGTTCTTGAAGAAGATAGTGTGTGCTTTGATGGCTCTTGGGCCGGCGGTGGAGTGGTGATCTCAGCTGTTGTCGGTGATGGGTTGTTCTCTAGGTTGCAGGAGGGTTCTCTTGCTTTTGCTAGATTCGAGGTGCTTTTACTAAAGTTTGTTTTATTGTAGCACCAAGTAAAAGGTGTGTTGTTGGTGCTCTGACATGCTGTTGTTCCCGCATGTTATTTCTTTGGTGGAAATAAGGAAGTTGTTGGAGATAGCTTTTTCGTGGTGCCCATACTGTTTTATGTTGGGTTTTTTTTCTGTGGGTGGATGATACCATCGTTTTAGGGGGGTTTTATTCGTTGTACCCATACTGCTTTTCGAAGATGAGTGGAAGGAAATTTCAGCAAGTGTATCCATTCCTTAGTGTTGTGCCTTCGGTCAAGTTCAGGGTGTTGCTGTTGGTTCGTTCTGGTGCTAGGTTCATTCCACTGGTTTTGCTGCATGCGTATATTTTGTAGTGTGTCCTCTATTTATATTGTTGGTTGTCTGTGTTGGTTTTATTAAGTGTTGGATTGGAATTGTGGTTGGACGTGTGTATAGTCTGAACGCTATTACATTTCTATGTGTATTTGTTCTCTACCACCTCAAGGTACACTCTTTTTCCTCCATTTAAGATTAAGGAGGTTTTTTAATAAGGTCATTGAGGTGGTGTACTTTGTTATTCACTTAATACAAAGTACCATCTTTCAAAAAAAAATAAGACTGGTGATCACTAGGATGTAGATGAATCACTAGGGCTAGTAAATTACTAAAACAGGAACGGTAGTCCACTAAGCTTCTTTCTTCACATCGCAACCATATAGTAAGATAAATATGACATGTTTATATAAATTACAAGACAATACAAAACATATTATTTCAGGAACATGGATGAGCATAGACATTTGCAATGATAGAAGACATTTTGTTAAGTGTTTAACAGATAGTATAAAAATATGTTTGATGACCAATCATAAAAGACACATAATGATTCAAATACATTATCTAGATATCCATTGACGTTTAATAAAACTAAAATTTAATATATTAAATTTGTTATGAAAATAGAAGATGTTTCTTATTAAAAAATGAGAAAATATACAAAATTATAACGAAAGTTTACAATCATAAGCGCAAACTAAACACATAATTATGACATTTTTCTATAATCATTACACAAGAAACTAACTATTTGATATCACACAATGACCATACAAGGAAAATGTTAAAAACTTATCCAAGAAACTCGAACAAAAAATCGGTACGAACAGATCTGACTGCACCGGTAAACGAACCATAACATGGGATGAAATTATTGAAAGACCACCGACAATTACAAATTAGAATCAAATTTCGTGAGACAATTATCTTCAAATTTAAAACACGTGTTTAAATCCGATAGGAGCAGGATAAATCAACATGATAATAAATAAACTTCATCTTGATCAGTCGATGCGATATCAAATCCAATTCTGAGAAAATTAAGCCAAAAGAACAATAAAATAATCGATAAAAAAATCAAAAACATACCGAAGAAAAAGAAAAAAGAACTACAAAATCAGAGAAATATATATCATAAAGGAAAACTTATTAAAAACTAAAACGTAAGGAAAAAGTGAAAAAGATTGGCTGTCAGCAATCTTAAGGTTGGTGCCGTCGCCTTTAAAGAAGATAAAATAGAGAACAAGTGAAGGGCATTAAAAAATTTAGAGAGTTTGACCCAACTAATCATTCCTTATTTACATGTGGATAATAATTCTTAAATTTAAGATATTAATTAACTTAGGTAATATGTATTGAAAAATATATCAAGTCGGTTGTAACACGATAATACACCCTAAAATATCCTCGTAAAAGTTGTAAAAACATTGACGACATAACTTATAATTAAGCTTATGAAATGTTAATTAAAAGGACACTTTTTAGTTTTAAAGTGATGATCAAACTTAACCCCCGCAATTGTTTGTTTGAGACATATGCCCCAGCTTGGAAGGTCGATCGAGAGCAATAAAATAGGGTGTACATATGAAATGATACTCAAATATGATGGAATTAGAAAATAAAAAGCAATTACTTTTGGCTGCGGAAACCCCGGTTGAAATTAGAAACCATTAGGACCCATCAAAAAGTTTGTTAGGAAAAAAGGTTGTCATGTTCCATCTCGTAAACCAACCATTGTTGATAAGGGCGAGTTGGAAACAGAGAAGAAAAGCAAACGCTAACCAAGGCGTTTGCCATCATCCCATGTCCTTGGCTTTCTTAAGTTAAACAAATACAATGAAAGCCGCTCTCATTTTCCTTTGGTTTCTTTAATTAAGGTCATTCTCTTCCGTGTGGGTGTTTTGTCTCCCATTTTCAGGTCCCTTGGGTCATGCATTCGATCGAGTCCACGAGAAGCATGAGAAACAGCCAAAGCCAAATACACGATTCTTCCTCCATCGACACCCAACCTCCGCGTCCCAAGCGGGTTTATCAAGTTTGGAAAGGAAATAACGTACATTCTTTTTTCTCTTTCTATTCTTCCTCCGTGATTGATCATGTACATTGATTTAAATATCAGTCGGGTTGATGTTTTTCATTATATTGTATTTATCGTGATTGAAGACATAATAGACGCTATTGTTGTCATTAGGACGAATCTATGCGAGAGGTGGGAGGGGCAATTGCCACCCTCCAACTTTGATGGCTTTGTCATAGTTTAATTATATTTTAGGACCCTTTAAGTTTTAAAAATATAATTTCAACTTCTAGTTTTTCTGGTTTAATTATTCTTTAAGACCCTTCATTTTTAAAATTAGTGAAATTAAATCATAACTCCTATAGTTTTATGGTTTATTTAATTTTAAAGATCATATTTCTAAACAACTTGTCCATCTCATAGTTCAATCCGGACTTCGTCCGTAGTGTCACAGTCATGCAATAACGATTTCAGACGACACCGTTACCCTATATAACCACTATAACGTGCATGCATGAAGTATGAGTTTCTATATGGGCCAATGAAACAATTTTTGAATTTGGCAGAATTTTTGCTGTGGTGGGAGGGTGATACTCGGCCCCGATGCTTCATCACTTTTCTTAACGTCGTTTTTGATTGGATGCCCCGCAATTTCCTTCTGCATAAAGATGGCGTTGCATATGAAGCCCCAAGATACAGTCTTTAACCATCCAGTATTGCTTGGGGGACTCATACTCACTGTTTTGGTTGGTAAAATAATAATATTGTTTCAGCTCATCATTATTACTTGGGAAATGATTGTCCCCGATGTCCAACAAAATCGTAAAAGAAAAACTCATGTGTTGCAGGATTTAGGGTTTCTGTTTCTGACAAGCTTTGGAGATCCTGGAATAATACCCAGAAACTCAAAACCGCCGGAACGTGGGGACGATGATGATCTGTGCAAAAGCGCGTCGTTTGATTGGGTGAATGGGAAGATGAACAGCCTGAGGCTGCCCAGGATTAAGGAAGTGAAACTGGTGACGGGTGAAACGGTTCAAGTGAAGTTTTGTGAAACCTGTTTGTTGTATCGGACGCCCCGCGCATCTCATTGCTCCATTTGCAACAATTGCGTCCAGAGGTTTGATCATCATTGTCCATGGGTGGGTCAATGCATCGGAGAAGTAAGTTCTTTTTAACCTTAATTCGTCTCCATATTAAGATGAGGGTAAACCACATCCTATGACCACTTAACCAGGGACGATTTCAGTCTCAATACCGATCTTAATTTTAATTCAATTCAATAAATTCTTCGTCTAATCATATTAATTTTAATTGATAAAATATCAATTTGATTCTAATTTTAATTCAATTCAAACTGATAGAATATATATAAATTAAAAGGACCAAATGTACAATTATGTTATTTTTTTAATTATCACGTTAGCTCTTTCCATCAAGTGTTACCAATAAATAATATAATTAACATCATTTAAATAATTAGATGATCTAATTAATATTTTATCAAAAAAATAGTTCGATTAACAAAATTTACAGATCATTACCTCATAATTAGATGCTCGTAGTTACCTTAAACAAATAAAATCACTTTTTTGAATCGGCTCATTCTTGGGTTTTTTTATTTATTTATGATTGTGGGTCAATAATTGCAGCGCAACTACACATTCTTCATATGTTTTATATCATCATCAACGACGCTGTGCATATACGTGTTCACCTGCTCTTGGGTGAACATTCTTAAACAAGATTGCGGCTTCTGGACAGCCGTATCTCGGGATGTCACATCCGTTATTCTCATTCTCTATTGCTTCATCGTCTTCTGGTTCGTCGGCGGCCTCACAGTTTTCCATTTCTACCTCATTTCCACTAACCAGGTAATCATTCTAATTTCAACTCACATTTTCGTCCATTTCTTTTGAAACTAATTTTCTTTGGTTAATTATTTTATCTGTCAAAAATTTTATATTTATATATATATATATGCACCTTCAAAAATATATCTGAATCTGCCTCTAATTATACGCCCTTCCAATATGTTTTTGCAATTTTGAATTTCAGACGACCTACGAGAGCTTCCGGTACCGGTATGATCGGAAGGCGAATCCTTTCAACAAGGGCATACTAAGAAACTTCAGGTCAGTGTTGCTTTCAAGGATCCCACCGTCATTGAACAATTTCCGGGCATGGACATCGGAAGATGACGAGTGTCTTTCGGTCATTGAGGACAGCGTCAACGGTTCCAAACGCAATCCCGACGTGGAAATGGGGGTTCCCAAGTTTTTGCAGAAGGCCGACTTTGATGGTTTCGACAATAATTCGGCTTCCAAGATCCAAAATTCTAAAGATAAACCTAAGTTTGATATAGCTTGATTATTAAAATGACCAGCCCTTTAGGCCGTAAAACTCAACCGATTTCTGTTTGTATTTGTTCATTTGTTTTGAGTTTGTGTTGGGTTTCTACTCATTAAGATTTCAAACTTGTATGTTCAAGCTCGACCCGTTAAAATCTGTGTAACACCCCCTAGTCGATTCGATAATCCCACATGGACAGGAGATATCACGTTCAAAGATCAAGGCAAGAGATGTCACATTCGAAGATCAGGGCGGAAAGAAGACCAATTGAATTTCTTTTTGAAACATCGACATCTTATTTAATATATTCATGAACATTATGATAATTATCAATTATACGATATAAAATGAAAATCAAGATTCTAGTATGACTGTAGATTTAATAAAGTAGACCTCTGATAGTCTATTAAGAACTCCTCAGATTATAGCGTAATCAATTAGAAACGATTTGGGAAGCGTCCCATATTGAAGGGGTACAGTTGGTATTAGATAGATAGATCAGTCAAAGATATATCGGAGATGTGTTTCATCTTCAGTATTTTAAGATTTGGTTAAAAAAGACTAACCTAAGCGGTTCCGTTCAAAAATGACCAAGTCTTTGTTCATTGTGCGAGTGAGGAGCGGCAATGGGAGAGTGCAAGTAACTGCAATGACGCTATAATTTATCGGGTAGCGTAGCATAGGAAAGACGATAATCATGTTCCACCAAAAAACCTTATTGGGCCGTGTACTCTCACTGCAATTTTTCTTCATTGCATATGCAGAAGTGCGAATCATAAGAACCTTTGATGAAAGGCTACCTGGATTATTAGGTGTTGATGAATGGTTTTACAGATAAGTGGCATGGATAGCATAGTTTAAGTTCCCTACTCTTGTTACACCCGTACCCTGTAGTTTTAAAAATTATTGTTTCCCGTCCCCATCCTCATATCCGTATCTGTCCCCATATCGGTTTCAGTGCAAAATAGGATGAATCAAGGAAGTCATTAAGACAATTTGAATAGTCCGGGAGTGAGAGAAATGGGGATGGTTTCTCTTAGGGACAGTCCAGAAAAATTGAATTTTAGTAAATGTTCAATGATAATTTTAGCTTTTCAAGTGAAGAATGATGAAACAAACTATTAGAAGATTGCTAAAGGACATCGTTTCCTTTGAATTTTCGTTGCACCTTCATGCGAGAATCTGGTTCAAAGTTGTGCTATTGTCATGTTGTCGATTTTAATGATCATGTTGGTTTTCTGTTTTGGCATAGCAAGGTCAAGGATCGATTTCACACCAGAGAAGGGTCGCATGGCATAAACTTTAACATTTACAAAATAAATAATAAAAGGGTCACACGGCATTAAACTGTTTCAGTTTCATATGCAAAATCTTGTAGCATGGCTAAAGCTGAAAATGTACCAGAAAATGGAACTCTTACAAGAATAAAAATCTAGTACACAAGCTGTGGTTCAAATTCAGCGAAATCAACGGATCCCGATTCAATAGGCGGCATTAGATACGTAGCCAAGAGCTCCGAGGCCAATGCTGCAATTAGTGGAATCCTCTTCAAGTTTTTCACCAAGGGGATATCGTCGCTCTCCCCAGCAGCAATCAGTTGTTCGTTGATCTCAACCATTTTGTCCAACCTCCTCTTGAACTCCGGATTCTCAACATCCAGCACAGCAGGGAAAATCCTGGCCGTCGTTCGGTTCGTCTATACGCAAGGAATTCCAAGATTAACAACTATATAACAGCCAAAGCTCAAAGATTTCATCATACTTTGATTTCCAAGGTCTTGTACAACCATGTAGTAGCTAACTAGTAGCTTCTAATAAGCTTGGGAAGATGCAGAATCCCCAGTATCATGGCTCAATAAGATTATAAGCATAAATAAACGCAATCTAACCTCAATGATGACATGCATGTCGAATTCTTTCGTGTCAAGTCCAATGCCCTCATAGAACGCAGTACGTTGACAGTCGTTGAGGTACATGGTAACATATACCTACAGAACCAAACTGTTTAACACCAAGAATGTAGTATGAAATAAATATGATATATCATGAAAGCAACAAATTGATTACCGAGAGGCAGAAGAATCTGGACCAGAGCTTCGCCTTCCAATCATTAAGGAACTGAGGCTGCGCCGTGAGCAACGCGGAGAAGAAATCGCCGTGTCGGTTTTCGTCCTGGCACCAGTTCTCAAAGTACTTGAAAATAGGGTAACATTGGTACTCAGGATTTTCTTTGAGATGTCTGTAGATAGTAATGTATCTCCAATACCCAATTTTCTCAGACAAATAAGTAGCATAGAAAATGAACTTTGGCTTGAAAAAAGTGTACTTCCTAGCCTTTGTCAAGAACCCTAGGTCCAATGCCAAGTTGAAATCAGACAAACCCTTGTTCAGAAACCTGTAAATCAACAAAATGATAAGGTAATATGTTCATAATGGCCACAAACAGAGAGAAAATTATCAATGTGCATACCCGGCATGCCTGGCTTCATCCCTTGACATAAGAGAGAAAATCTCAGCCACAACTGGATTTGTTTTCTGCAGAACTTGGTTGAACAAATGAATATATATTTAGCTATGGAGAGAAAAGAGTGTAAATGGATAATATTAGAATTACCTTGAGTCTTCTTCCGAGTTCTTTGTAGAGGAGAAAACCAGAGAACTCAGCAGTGCAAGACCTCTCCAAGAACTCAACGAAGATCTGTCTCAAAGGACCATCGATCTTATCAGCAGCCTCCTTGAACTCCTTGTTCCTCACGAAGTGTGTCTGGTTGTAATCCGTCTTGAACTCTTGAAGCAGAGCCTCGAACTCGGACTGATTGAGGTTCTTGTTGATTTCAGTGTTGAAAAGGGTCTCCATCTCGTCGAAATCAGTGGTGTAGAACCTCGGCGTCAAAAGGGTCTCTTTGATTGCTGTTTTGGCGGCTTTCTTGCCGCCCTTGACGGCGGTCTTTGTTGTTGGCTGCGAAGTGGATGACATCCTGACGGTGGTGAACTTCACATAACGTGAGTTGGTGAAGATTGGAGTGCTTGAACTGAACTTGGAGATAGGCTTTACGAGTGCCATTTCAGTTGCCATTTTTGGTGGAGACGGTATAGACATAAGCTAGGAGGTTGAAAAAGAAGGTGCTTGAGTTATAGGTGAGGGACAGTTGATTGAATCTCATCCAACGAAATCTGAGTCTGTGAATCGAATACTGACACGTGTGATCTCCATAGCCGCTCTCGATTACTCTGTTTCTTTCTGAATATCACTGCATGGGCCAAAGGATTTGTGGTGTACCTTTCACGCCCCATGATTTTGATTCATGGCACTTAAAGAACTAAACATAGTACGAGTCGGATTTTAGAAAAATATTTCTTTTATTTAAAATTTGATTCAACGTGAATTTAGGGTAATTTTACATAATTTAAAATTGTATCAACCTTTTAAAATAAAATATGCACTCATACAGATGTGTATATATATAATTCTTAATCTTATTTGATATTTTTTTATCTTAAATTTGAACTCAATCTGATTCGATCTGATCTTATATCCTGAAAATCCTATCTAACCTCATTTTTTATAAAAAAACAAATCAATCTAATAAAAATAAATCCCGTCGAAACTCATTGGATTCAAATTATGTTTTCATCCCTACTTGAGACTTGAGTTGATATTTTACTTTTTATTTTTTATTTTAAAGGTTTTTAATATAAATAAGTGGAGGGTCAGCAATAGGGTTGTAAACTATCCGAATCGAGCTCGAGTATTGTTGAGTTCGACTCAACTCTAAAATTCGTTAGTTTAAAATTTTTAAACTTGACTCAAACTCGAAACCATGAATTAAAACTCAAAATAAATAAATAATCTTAAACTTAACTCGATTGAAGCCTCAGGCTCAAACTCGAACCTCAACATTAGGTACATGAAAATCTTATACTGCATTTAAGAAAAATCAACACAAAAATGTTAATATTATTAATAACTTATTTTAAAAATAAAATTTATTATATTTTCGAGTTGCTCGCGAGCTTTTCGAGTTGAGTATTAAGTAGCTCGTTTCGGCTCGTTGAGAACTCGAGACGAGTCCATTCAAATCGAGCATTTATCTACCTTTGACGAGTCGATCTCGAGTAGCTCAAGATTTATCTCGTCTCATTTACAACTCTAGTCAACAGTAAAATAAGTCGCGTTATTATGGTCAAAATAGTCAAGACTTTATTTGATATTTTTACTTTCCATTTTTCATCCTTACCATAAATACTATAAATAATTATAATAAAATTAACATAGAAACTTAAACAATTCGACTGAAATAAATCGACTCAAAATTTTTAAACTCTATTCGATTCAAAAAATTTAAGTACATATTATAGAATATGATTTGACAATTCGAATAATTTGAAATATTATAATTTGACTCGATCAAATCCTAACTCCTAATATATATTGTTGATTTTAGTTTCAGTGAATACAATAGATTACAAAATAATAATAACAATAATAAACGAAGGTGTTTTTGTTTTGGGTCTGTGTTCGAAAATTTTTATAGAAAATATCAATAGTGATAGAAAATATCAATAGTGATATTTTTATCGAAACAGAAAATATGACTATGATGTAATAGCTGCTTAATTTTCAACGAATAATCTATAAAAAAAGATAATTGATAATAAAAAAAACATTATTTTCCCAGATAAAGGTCTGTTTATTTTGATTGGCGGAGAATCGGACATTTATATAACTCAAGATTACGTATATCATCCTACGTGGCAATTGGCATCCCCTTTCAAGTAAAAGAAAACCAATTCTTCCAGACTCTTGATCACCTTTGATTCATCAATGGCGATCTCTACATCATCCCCAGTTGCTTACCTTACCAGAATCGAACATTCCAATTTTCCCTCAAAAAACCCACAATTCAACCCCTTTTTCCCATCAAGAAAGCCATTAACAATCGTAAACATGGCCCCCAAAAAGAAGGTATAATCGTCAAATCCTAGCCCATGTTTGGTTCACAAGAAAGATTGATGGCGTTTGTTTGTTTTTTGTTTCAGGTAAATAAGTACGATTCCGGGTGGGAAAAGCAATGGTTTGGAGCAGGAATCTTCTACGAAGGAAGCGAAGAAGTAGAAGTGGACGTGTTTAAGAGCTTGAGAAGAGAAAGGTTCTGAGCACCGTTGAGAAGGCGGGGCTGTTATCCAAGGCGGAGGAGCTTGGACTCACCCTTTCGTCGATAGAGAAACTGGGCGTTTTTTCTAAAGCCGAGGAGCTGGGGCTGCTCAGCTTGTTGGAGAAGGCGGCTAGTGTATCCCCTTCCACGCTGGCTTCAGCGGCACTTCCAGCTTTAGTGGCGGCGCTGTTGGCTGTAGTGATTATACCGGATGACTCGGTTGGTCTGGTGGCGGTGCAAGCGGTGGTGGCTGGGGCACTTGTTGTTGCTGCTGCTGGATTGTTTGTGGGGTCGGTTGTATTAGGTGGCCTACAAGAAGCTGACTAATCTTCACATGTTTCATTTTGTAATGTTGTACATAAGCTTAGTTCTTCTCTTCAAATCCAAAAGGAATTTTAAATGGTGTTAATACTCTTAATGTCTTCTAATTATTAGACTTTTATTTCTATTCAAGTAATTTTAAGCTGAAAGATAAATTGACTGAAGAATCATGGAATATAGCCTTGTTGCTGTCTACGTAGATAAATAATAAGTTATTCAAGTTTAATTTGATTAGAATATAATTGTCGTTTAAATCGAATGAAGTTAAGTTAGGTTTAAATTTGATTTATGTTCTTAACGAGTCGAAGTGGATTATTTAATATTCGATTCGAAAAATTTGTGATCAATTCAAAAAATAATGCATTAGTTTTTAAAATTTTAAATTCAATTATTAATAATATTAAATTTTATATTTTTAAAAAAATTCAATATAAGATTTTTTTTTGTACCAAGCTCAAATTCGAACTGAATTGAACTAAGTCTGGACGAGTTTAAGTTTTTTCGATGTTCAATTTTTTATTTCAAGTTCGAAGTGAACTTGATAATTTTAAACTCGTGAACTTTTGAATTGAGTCTAACTTAACTTTTAACTTTTCGATCAAATCAAACATACTCGAGCTTGACTCAACTTGTTTACATCATATTTCTATGTGCTGGTAAACGTGAACCAAGTCGGTCACCTAATCACCAGCTGATTGAAAGATATACAGTAGGCAAAATCCCATTCCCTTGCTCAAAGCAGACTCTTTTTATTTATTTAGATATTTAATGGGATTTAAATAGTAATGTGAATACAATGGTTGAATTGTTATTTTACAGATATGGGCATTCTCAATCACCATGTCACCCAATACTGCCGTAGCATTGGGAAAGCTAAGCAGAACCAGACTGAAAATACCTTGTTCCAATATGTTGCGACCATCCATCCAAGTTTATAGAGATCAAAACTTGAGATTGTCTGTCAAATAACAAACCACTTCTTGCTGCACCACATCAAACCAGAAAGAACACACATCACTTGAGGAACAGGGGAATCTCAAAGAAAAAGGGATGTATTCGTGTTAAACTGAAGTTGTAAGGAACTTACAATCAAAGCAAGAATTATACATCCAGCGGCACCAGGGAAAAAAGCATACCAGAAACTCAACTGGTGTGACTTTACTCCGTCTATGAATAGGATCGGCAAACTTGCAGCTAAATTCACAACCCAAAATCAGCATTAGGATGTGCAGATAAAGTTTTTGAAGTTGAAGATGGGAGTAACTGGTGGATGGGTTGAACGTGTGTAGATCATGAAAGCTATGGAGGCAGCAAGGGCAGCACTTCTAGCAAGCCAGGCAGGCCCAAATATAGTAAACGCAGCAACACCAATCGCTGCACAACCTATTTGTGCCGTGAACATATTGTACTTCTGCACCACACTACAGGTTTCATGCTACTCATCTAATGCAAAATTAAATTACTTTTACACATTTACACAACTTATGTATTCTTATTTCATTATATTTACCCTCACACTATATAAATTAATTTATTTATTTTTCTAAATTATCATTTAACACATTGGCCTTGAAACCCTTTTACCAAAGTAATTTTAGTTCACTGTCGCAGCTTTAGTTATCATTTAAATATTAATTAAAAACACAATAATTTAACTACATATTTTTCTATAATAGAGATAATGTTTTTCAGCATTTTGTTGAACTTTTAATAATTGTTTTCTATTAAAAAAATGTCATGGTAGATCTTATAGTTATACATGTTTGTGTGTGTACGTAGAGAGGTAGGTAATATGCATATATGACAAGAAAGATCAGAAGACGGTAAAACCCAATATTAATATTTTCAGTAAAAAAAATAATGTTTTAGGTAGCGTTTTATTAAAAAATGTTAAATATTTTTTTTTTAAAATAATATTTTAAATAACGTTTTACTAAAAAAAATTAAAAAATATATATTTTTAAATATTATATTTCTTTAATCGAATATTAAAATTATCGTACATTATAACTACCCTCAAAATGGATAGTTGTCGAGGTTTAAGTATAATAACACTAACCTCGAGAAAGGTGAGTGTCTGGGTTGGAAGTTTTGTATGTCAGCACAGTAAATCTTAAAAGACTTGAAAATAGAGTTTGAAATTTTCATAGGCAAGTTTTATATTTATAAATGATAATAAGGAATGTGTTGAAAAACCAATGAATTAGGTCTAATTCTGAATTCAATCCTCTGTGAACAAAATGTTCTAATTATATAATTTTCTGGTTTAAATTACTATATGCTTTAAAAATAAATATTTAATATTTTATTTTATTATTAATACAATAATCTCAAAATATTTTGATTTTATTTTTAACGACGAACCAAGTAAAGAAAAATCAGAGATTTTAAAATTTTCACAATAACATATTTTTTCTACGATCAAGAGAAAATGATAATTAAATAAAAACTTAAACATCTAAATTTTGATTTAGAATAAAGTTAAACACTTAAAATAGAAAAATGGTATATTTTAAATATTTATTTTATAAAAACTAAAAAGTTAATATCATTATTGGCAAACACATGAAGTTTTACTGGTTTTTTCTTGTCATTTTTGTTGTAAATTGTTAGACTCATACTTTTAGTTATTTTTTTCATATAAATTATTGGATCATTAATTTTCAAGTTTATAATTTATCATAATGTATAATATTATTATTTAATTGAATTCATTAAGTGACTCCATTAGTAAAGAAAAGTATATTTTTTAGAGGCTTTGAATTCAAGCAGCATTTGTCCATCGATTCTCAACAGTTAAGAAAGATTTTAAACATGTATTATATTGTAATCATATCAAATTATTTAAAAGTATATTGTTATTTAATTAAATTAGTTTTTTAATTTTTATAAAATGCTATAATAATAAAGGGTAAACTACATCAGATATCACCGAATTTTAGACGTTGTATTGTTTATACCACTAAACTTTCAATTGTACTAATTATAGCATTAAACTTTGATTTTCGTTTGAATTATACTTTAATGGGTTGTTAAATTGTTAACAATAGGATCAAAACAATGTCGTTTTAGTGATGTGTCTACATCGAAATCCGTCAGCCACGTCATCGTGCCATTAACAATTTATTGGCATAATTGAAATGAAAATCAAAGTTCAGTGTTATAATTAATAAAATTGAAAGTTTAGTAGTATAAATGATGCTAAACTTTGATGGCATCTATGTGGTTTACACCAAAATAGAAGAAAAAAATCACAAATTTTTTAAAATTTCAAGGAACAAAAGAAAAAAATCACTATACTAAAAAAATAAAGATAGATAGCACACAAAAAATTAAAAAGTCAAGAACATTAAGCACATAACACGTTTTTTAAAGAAAAAAGAAGAAAAACCTAAAAAATAAAGATGAATGTATGATGTTTTAAGTTACAATTAATTTTTTTATTTATTTTTCAGGGGCATTGTGATATTAATCTTAAAAATAAAATAAAGCAATATTCATATCTTATCTTGCTAATTAAAGGGTAACAAGAGTCACATACCCGAGCAGCAGGAGAGGAGGGTGAAGCAAAGAGGACCGCACAAATCGCCCCTAAAGGAGCAATTGTCATTGAAACCCCTCTTGGTGCTAAAATCTGATCCATCTTTCCCAGTATCGCCATTGCAGCGAACACTTCTGTTCATCAAAATTATCATTCATTGGTCTTCACGACTTCACTAATCAACGTCTAACTCCTCAATTTTGCATTGTTCTCCATAAGCTTAACTTTTCAGCGGTGATGAACTAACCTGCAGAAAGCCAAAGGACGTCGCTGAGTGATGGAGCCGAAGAACTTTTCTGAGGTTTCCATGACTTCCAGAGATCAGGCAAAGCGACGTTTCCGCTTGAAGCAACAACCACCGCGTATTCTCTTCCTTTGTTTTTTCTCAAGCTTTCGGTTGTTTTTCTTGTTGGTTTTTTGGTAAATTTTGAATCTCACATTGGTTTTGTATAAGGAGGAGGGGAAATTCTTTTGTTATAAATAGAGTCCTCCTCATCCTTAGTTTAGCATCCCACAAATATAAGCATTCTTCTATATTAAAGGCTATTTGTACTCTTTATCTCTCTTTGTAATATTTCCTCTATTAGTGAAAAGTTATTTTAGTAGTGTTCGAGGACGCAGGCATAATTTTGGCCTAACCTCGCTAAATTTTGGTATTCTCTTTTATGTCTATTTAATAGCTATTGTCGGGTATAGTTGTTGTTAATTATTGTCCTATTAAAATTACTTGTCTTGGTAGTTCTGTCTAAGGAGAGTGGTTTTTAAGAGGGACCATTGTGACCCCTCCACTCTTTCCTGGGAATCTACCTTGGGGTGATTTTTAGTAAAATCGTTTTCAAACTAGTCACCTAGATAATAGTTTTTAATGTGAATTTGTTATTATTGGTGGAAATTAACCCGAATTCCACAACAATTGGCATCAGAGCTCTTGGTTTATTTTAGTATGCTATGTGGTTGCGGCTTAGGCTGGTCTTCCACATCAGAAAAAAGTTTCCTTAGGCTAAATGACATTCCGCATTGACAGCTATTAAATAGAATTTGTAGCAGAAATGGCAGACGACACAAAAACATACACATCGTCGTCAACAGCTTCTTCATTTTTAATTTTGGCAAGAAATGCTGTGACAAATGATAGATTTGCGGTAGAGATTTTTGATGGCACCGGTCATTTCGGCATGTGGCAAAGTGAGGTTCTAGATGCCCTATTTCAGCAGAGTCTAGACATTGCTATTAAAGGAGAGAAACCAGAAGAATCGGACCACTGAGAATCCTGCTGATATGTTGATAAAAGTGGTAAATGCGGTCAAGTTTAAACATTGCTTAGACTTGGTCAATATTTTTACAAATTGAAAGATGAATTTGCAGACACTACTGAAGATTGGATTTTTGAGAGATATGTGTGGAATTTGCCAAGGTGGAGATTTGTTGGTTTTTTGGTAAATTTTGAATCTCATATTGGTTTTGTATAAGAAGGAGGGGAAATTCTTTTGTTATAAATAGAGCCCTCCTCCTCCTTAGTTTAGCATCCCACAAATATAAGCATTCTTCTATATTAAGGGCTATTTGTACTCTTTCTCTCTCTTTGTAATATTTCCTCTATTAGTGAAAAATTATTTTAGTAGTGTTCGAGGACGTAGGCATAATTTTGGCCTAACCTCGTTAAATTTTGGTGTTCTCTTTTATGTCTATTTAATAACTATTGTCGGGTATAGTTGTTGTTAATTATTGTCCTATTAAAATTACTTGTCTTGGTAGTTCTGTCTAAGAAGAGTGGTTTTAAGAGGGACCATTGTGATCACTCAACTCTTTCCTAGGAATCTACCTTGAGGTGATTTTTAGTACAATCGTTTTCAAACTAGTCACATAGATAATAGTTTTCAAGGTGAATTTGTTATTATTGGTGGAAATTAACCCGAATTCCACAACATTTCTTTCTAACGCCAGAGATCTCTCCACGCCAACCTTCTTGTTTCTTAAGAAACAATGATTTCCTCTGAGCAACAATGGAGAGAGTGAATTCAGAGATGTTGACGCTGTTGATATGGCCATGACATTGCTTTGATGATAATAGTGATTGGCCATCTCTTAGTTTTTTCAATTCTGCCGCTGCCGCCGTCACCGTCGTTTCCCCTAATATATGCTTAATTAATTCTGGTTGTTATGAAGTAACATGACAAAAAGTTAAAAAAAATTGCATAATGTGAGGGATTCTCCATTGGGGAAATACAATAGAGGTGAACGGCCTTTTGGAGGCTTTGAAAGGGCATTCATTGGATAAGGCAAGCTTACATTGCCTCTGATTTTTTCTTTTTCATTCTCACTTGTTTTGAGGGCTCTCTTGTTTTCTCTGGACTTTTTGAAGGTTAAAATATCTAAAATTTAATATACTCAAATAGCCCTCAAACTACAATACCCTGTATAAATAATCCCTCATATTTTTTGTAGTCAAATAAGCCCCTAATATATTATTTTTACCCAGAAAAGCACCTACTTATCTGATTGGCACTTTTTAAGCTTATGTCAGAGGATTTACTCTCATTTGCCAGCACCCCCAATATTGAAGGGCATTGGATTCTTAGTGGAGAGGTAATTTCCCCTTTATTCCTCCCATTTCTTTTATTATTTGTACTTTATTTCATTCTAAATATAGCTTTAATTGCTATAAATATAATTTTAATTATTATGCAACATAATACAATTTATCATTTTAATAAAAAATGTAATCAGACATTCAACTAAGAAATTAATGCTAAATGAATATTAACGAAGGTTATTGAATATTTATGATGTTGATCATTATTTTGAGGGAATATTTTATATTTTTATTTTTTAAGTTTAATATTTTTGTATGTTTTTTTTATATTTATCGTCTTCATTTTCCACTTTATATAATTTTTATTTTTTTATTACTTTTATTAATAAAATTAAGTTGTGAATGTTAAAAGAAAGGAAATATACTTATTCGCTCAGTTAATTTATATTTTTTTTATTAATCGTTCAGTTAATTTTGAGTTCAATCGGTTAATGGTTTTTTAAACCTCAGTCGGTGGTTAATTTAGTTCAAAATTATTTAATTAACCGAATTGACTAAAATTATTAATTATTTAATATATTATATATATTATTTATATATTATTCATCTAATAAGAGTGTTTAAATATTGATTTTAACTGAATTAATCGACCGAATTAGTCGAATAAACCAAAAATATTAAATATTAAATATATAATATATCATTTATAAATTTTGGTTAATTCAACTAAAAACTTTTGAAAAAATTTGGTTCGGTTAACAGTTAAAGAAAAAATCAATTAATGAATTTGGTAGTTCGGTCCAGTCGATTAACCGGATTAACTAATTGAACAACGCTAGTTGTATATATGTATGAGTTGGGGTATTATCTGATTGAAGCATGAAAAAATAGAGAAGATAAAAAGAGGGCGCATTCGGTAGGAACATTCGAGAAAAATTTTAACGAATTTTTCTTTTGTTATTTTGAGTAAGTATTATTCGCATAATTTATATATATTTTTATTTTTACCTCGTATTATTCTGTTAAATAATATTGTTGAGTTCTTTTGCAAATTAAAAAGGGAGCAATTGAAAGAGGACGCATTTGGTAGGAGCAACAACTTCTTTATGATTGTATATTATAATGAACATATTATGAAAAATGAGCTTTTTTGTTTTTCAGTTTGAAAGACCTATACATATGATATTTAAAAGGGACATCATATTTGAAGAAATGAAGAAAATGATGGAAATAAAAAATTGAGCTATAATTGATGGTTTGAGGTACAAGTTTATGGTATGTTCTAATCCAGTCGGGTATGTTGCGGTACCACTTGAAAAAGAAAATGATATTTGAATAATGATTGGATTACATGATTCAATAAATATTTCACAATTATTGAGTTATTTGTTGAGCTGCGTAAGATATTTGATGTTCCTGGATCCTCAAGAAATGTGGTTAGAAATCCATCTTAAATGACTTGTGGAAGTGAGTTTGAGGACTTAACATATAGGTCAATAAACAATTTCGTGGCATTATTGGAAAGTGGAAATTAAGTCAGTGGGACTTCCGCAACAATAGAATATGAGACAAGAAACGTACATCATCCAAAATCGACTATTGATGTTGACGTTGAAAACTGTTAGGGAGAAATACATTACGCTTTTAGCGAAGATGAAGAAATTGAGGACTTCATTTTGCTTGACAATGTGTTGAAAACATTTTGATGTTTCGATATAACAAATTAAGTATTGTTGAATTTTAAGATTTTATAATCATTTTTAAAGTATATTCGATTAAATTATTCGAATATCACAAATATTACTCCAAGTTTTTTCAAAGGTCAATTTCAAACCTTACTAAAGTGTAAAATTGTGGTTTAAACTTAAAATATTTTTGAAAATAAATTTTACAAAGTATTTCGAACCAAAACTGAGCCAAAACTCAATTTTACAAAGGAATGTACTGATACACACTTTGATGCATCGATACATTTCTTGTTCTATTTAAACATCGAATGCATTTTGTGTACTGATGCACAGACAATACATCGATATACTCTTGGTTTTATTGAAACATCGAATGTATTTTGTGTACCGATGCATAGACAATGCATCGATACACTCTTGGCTCTTTTGAAACATCAAATGTAATTAGTGTACTGATGCACCCCAGGTGTACCGATACATTAGGTCATATAACGGTCGAAATATTTAAATTTTACACACAGCGTACTGATGCACCATTGAAAGTGTACCAATACACATACGCTCCTAACTGATTTTTAAATGATAATTACACAATAACGACTCTATTAACTTCACCAATGATCTCCAACGTTCAGAAGTAATCCAAGGTGTATTTAAATAAGCTTAGGAGCCATTGATCAACAACAATTAATAAGAGAAGTTAGAGAATCAAAGAAAAAGCCTTGAACTTATCGTTTGAGCATTTTCAACCCTATTTTCATTCAATATTCATTTTACTTTCAAGAACACCATTTGTGCTCAATTGTATTCATTCTTGAGTGTTCTTTCTTTGTTCTAGAATTGTGAAAACATCTTTCCTTGTGAGGTTTTTCTATAAGTTTGTGAAATTTGTATTCTTC